AGATAAGTACCTGAGAGTAGTGCTAAAGTCCTCAGTTTTGGTCACACTCTAACCTCAGTGAGAACCTGACTAAAAGGGGAGAATTATTCAACAAAATTATGTGAGGCCATTGTTTTGGACTGAGCTCATGTGTTAGACCCCAACAGGCCAGAACAAACCAAAATGGAGTCCCTCATGCTAAACGTAACATAATCAAATTGAAACTTAAGAGAAGCAGATAAATCCCAAAACTGACCAGTTTTTTTTTTCTTCTGGAGACAACAGATTCCAATACAATAAGGAAGTCCCCTCTGCTCTAACCCTTACGAAAAAGTAACCTAAAGTTCTTGTTCCCACCTTATTAAACCTACAGTTCTGCTGTTTCCCAGTGGGATTTGAGAATGGTGACAGAGTGACATCAATGCCTGAAGTTTTGGGCAATTTCTAAAAAATTAAGAGGCTTACCAAAAGGGGGGAGTTGTTAAATTAAGTTTAGCCTAAAACTGCGTCTTTGCATAGTTTAAGTTCAGCCCCAGGATTTCTCCATATATACTGAACTGTAACCTAACCATATTCTGGATCATTTTGCTTTGTAGTAAAATGATGAAAGAAAGATTATGGTCTTAATTTTTTTTTTTTAATTAGAGAAGGGTTATGTGATATTAAACAGGAAATCATAGAAACTTTTAAGGTCTATGGCAGGAAGAATTTGGAGTAGTATTGATTAGGGGAACTATTACAATAATAATTTATATATATTTGCCTTCATATAATTTTCTTCCTATTTTTGAGAAGAAAATAATGTATATTTTCTCCTGTTTAATTGGGTTTTTTTGTTTGTTTTATTTTTTGAGACAGAGTTTCACTCTTGTTGCCCAGGCTGGAGTCCAGTGGTGCAATCTTGGCTCACTGCAGCCTCCGCCTCCCAAGTTCAAGTGAGATTCTCCTGCCTCAGCCTCCAGAGTAGCTGGGATTACAGGCACCCACCACCACGCCTGGCTAATTTTGTGTTTTTAGTAGAGACAGGTTTTCACCATGATGGCCAGGCTGGTCTGAAATTCCTGACCTCAGGTCATCCACCTGCCTTGGCCTCCAAAAGTGCTGGGATTACAGGTGTGAGCCACTGTGCCCAGCCTCTCCTGTTTAATTGTATTCATTCTAATGTTTACTCACTTCTTTTATTTGTAAAATAGGGTTACTTGGAGTTCTTCAGCCTATCTTACCAGTTAGCCACTATTACTAACAATTTGGATGGAAAAAGAAAAATCATATCACCTCTCCCCTTCATTGTATGTATGTGTTAACTAAGTAAATATAGTATTCTTTCCCATTTCTAATGAAAATTTTGTTTATGTACTGAAACACTGCAAACGTCTATAAATATTGTGATTTATTTGACCAACGCAAAGGATCTTTTTAGAAACAGCAAACAGTTCTCAGATCTATAGGAATTATTCATTTAATGATAGTTTCTTCTTAAAAAAAGAAAATAGTGTTTAGTTACCAAATCATAAACAACCTAAACAACCCCTTAAAAGACACTCAAATAATCTCATGGGTCAGGGGGGTGATGATCAGTATATTTGGTTAATAAAATGTAGCATAGAAAGCCTAAACCATAAATGGAAAATATAACAGGTTATACCAAAGAGAATACATTGAAATACATTAAGAAATCGGATTTAAACTATGATTGGATCCTTCTTTAGGTGGAAGTTATTTGAGAGGATAATTCCATGAAAATTAAAAAGTCGTGATTCTTTCATTGTAGGCTAGAAGAATGGATTTAGTCAACTGAGATTAAGTGTAGGGGACTCTACAAGAACCTATACGAGGATAAGAATATTGGAGGAAAAACAGTGGATGAGATACCAGATGTTATGGCATTCCATCTTTGTAAATACATGCAATAAAATCTGGTCTATCTGGCTTTCTTTCAACCTGAATGCCACTCACCGATATCACTGCATTTCTGCAGTACTGTAATTGAGGTTTATAATGATGACCCTGACATGACTTGTGAATCAGAGTAGAAGATTAAATTATGTTCTGCTTTTCCTTCATGTATTTAATTATATTTATATTAGTTGCAAACAGGCAATCTGATCTGTTTTAAAACCCTGCTAGATTAATCAGAGCCTCTTTATCAGGCACCCAACCATCCTTGATAGCAGAGTTTATAGTTCATGGGAGAAAACAAAAAAACCAAATAAACCACACAGGAACTGATTTTAAAATGTGACATCTGTACTATCATAGCAAGAATAATTATTATAAGATAATTTGGAATCATCCAGCCACATTTTAAATAACTATAACAAATGTGTTAGTTAATAATAAATGCTATGTAACTACTTCTTTTTAATAAGTGTACTTCATATTCTGTAGTGAGAAAAAATGTACCTTAGACTGAATAAATAAATCTTCATCTCGGATCTGATAGAATGTGGTTAGTGTCAACAAGAGAACAGATATTAGGCATATTTTCAGTTGAGTTGGTTTGTATGTAAAAGTTTGGTTTGAGGGTCCCATCAAGTTGCTTCTCATCTCACCTTTGGTTTACCCAGAGATGACTGTGGTGACAAAAAAGGTGCTCTAATAAACGTGAATAAGCCTGTGTTGTAGGTCAGATTCTCTGCAAGAGGAGCCTGAGACAGGGATTCTTGTGCGAATGTCTTATTGAGAATGGTCTCTCAGGAGAGGGGAATGTGGAGGTAGCATGGAGAAAGAGGATAAAGCTAAAAAGAAAGGCATGGCCCCAGCTGGAGACTGGCTTTGGTCCGATCCTGTAGGGAACCTGCTATAGTTTGGATGTTTGTCCTCCCAAACCTCAAGTTGAAATTTGATCCCCAATGTTGGAAGTGAGGCCTAATGGACAGTATTTGGGCCATGGGATAGATCTCTCATGAACAGATTAATGCCCTCCCTGGGTAGTGGGAAGGAGTGAGTTCTTCCTCTGTTAGTACCTGAGAGAGCTGATTGTTAAAAAGAGCCTGATGCTCTCCACCGCTTTATCCCTTCCCCACTGCTGACTTCCTCTCTCACATGTGATCTCTGTACACATGGGCTCCTCTTCACCTTTGGCCATGAGTGGAAGCAGCCTGAGGTCCTAACCAGCAGCAGATGCTGGTGCAATGCTTCTTGTACAGTTTGCAGAACCATGAGCCAAATAAACCTCTTTATAAATTGCCCCGCCTTGGGCATTCCTTTATAGCAACACAAAACATTCTTTGTAAATTCTTTATAAATTACCCATTCTTTATAAATTACGCAGCTTTGAGCATTCCTTTATAGCAACACAAAACAGACTAAGACAGAACCCTGGAGCAAGAGTGGCACCATAGAGGTGGTCGCCTTGAGGCCTTTTATACCCCCACTGTCAGTAACTCACTGGCTGTGGGTCAGTGATATCCACCAGGGAAGGAACTTCTGTTCTCCGAAAGGCAAGGGTAACCTTCCAAGAGCAACTAACACAGCAGCTACGGATGTTCACCAGCCCAAGAAGGGGATCTGGGCAGGACACCACTTATTCACTACACATGGGAACACTCTCATATATGGGTTACAGCTGCAGACCAACCCCTAATAATCCTATAACAAGCAAAGCATACTATGGAAAGTACTGCAGCAGCCAAACAGGGCTTAGGAACCCTGTCTCCACTCACCCACCCTTTGTGCCAAGGAATGGCAGCTGGTGGTGGCTTCTGGGACTGAGAAAAGGTGCCCAATAGGGGAAGAACTGAGGATGTTAGGAAAATTTAGGATAGGTCTAGACAGCCTGGGATAGGACAAGAGGAGCCTTGGGTTAAGGCTTATGTCTGAGGCCTACTTACCAATCTCCTTTCTTGTCTCCCATTAGCCGTAGAAATATGCTTGCCTGCTTATCTTTCCTCTGCCAATACCTTTTGCTGCCCACTAGGATTGCTATCTTCCCTAGCCTCCTCTGCAGTGACCTCTGTCTCTCTTCAGACAGTTTTTCCACCCACTCTTCATGTAACAACATTCAACTTCAGTTTCCCTGACATTTTCTAGTAGTTTGACAGTTAAATAATATGGGGAGGGGGAACAGAGTAGACATCCTTCCCATGCTATTCCCCTTCTTAAATTAATTTTTAAAATTTATTTTATTTTTAAATTTTTATTTATTTTGAGACTGAGTTATGAGACTGGCTAATTTTTGTATTTTTGGTAGAGAAGGGGTTTTGTCATGTTGCTCAGGCTAGTCTTGAATTCCTGGCATCAAGCAATCTACTTGCCTCGGCCTCCCAAAGTGCTGGGATTACAGGCATGAGCTATCACGCCTGGCCCTTCTTCCTAAATTTAGCTTGATGAGCTATACCCAACAAGGGTACTTCTGATGGTTTTTTGGGAAAAACAAAGACCATGTAGTTGATTCACCTGAATTTTACGGGAGTGCCTAGAGGCTGTCCTGGGAGGTGCTGGATGAAGGCTTCAGGTGCAGTGAGGAGTGGAGGAGGTGGACAGGAAGGGCCCCCCTCAGGCCCTTCACCAGCCCCAGACCGGCTGAAGACACCATTTCAGACATGGACAACAGAATGGGTGGGTGTGGGGCAAGAGTGGCAAGACATTGGCTACTGTGGGCTCTGAAGGAACAGAGGAAAATCATTTTTTTTTTCCTTTGTTTTTTTTTTTTCCCTCTGGGAAAGGAAAAGAAATTCCCTTTACTCCAAGGCTAGCGTAGAATTAAATGACTCTAAGTTAAACTACTGATATAGAAATGAGAAATACTACCACTTTGGCTGGAATCAGAGCATCTGATACTGTAATCAGCTAAGCAAGGGACCTGGGGTGGCCCCCAGCAACACAGTCTGCATGGGCACCATGTGGCATGGTGGAAGGCAGGGGGTAAGCTAGTTAAGACATTTACGGTGTCTAGCCAGGCGAGGTGGCGGGCGCCTGTAGTCCCAGCTACTCGGGAGGCTGAGGCAGGAGAATAGCGTGAACCCGGGAGGCAGAGCTTGCAGCGAGCTGAGATCCAGCTACTGCACTCCAGCCTGGGTGACAGAGCAAGACTCCGTCTCAAAAAAAAAAAAAGACATTTACGGTGTCATCATCTTGGAAGGTGTCACCACCTTCCAAGAGAGCTTTCCCTTCCTGTTGCTCTTCAGTCTCTGCAGAGAGCCCAGCCTTCCTGACCTGTATGGGGAGTGAGAGCACTGATTTATAAAAAGGACTCTTAAGACCCTTTTCTGGAGAGATTGGAAAGATACCAAGACAGATCTTAGTTCAAACTTGGCTCTGCTTCTTTCTACCCAAGTGATCATGAGCGAGTTGTTTAAGTTCTCTGGTCTTAATTTTCTGCCCACCTTTTATTTTTCACTAATAAAGAGAAGAGGTTTAATTGGCTTGTCACAGTCCCGCAGGCTATACAGGAAATGTGGCGCCGGCATCTGCTTAGCGTCTCATGAGAGCCTCAGGAAGCTTCCAATCCTGGCGGAAGGAAAGGGGAACCAGCCATCACATGGTACGAGTGTAAGAAAGAGAGGGAGAGGGACGGGGAGAGAGGAGGAAGAGAGAAAGAGGGAGAGAGAATGGCCTTAACTTTCTTATCTGCAAAAACAGAAGGGGATGGCAGGAAGGGGAAGATAATATTAGTGGCACACACAGAGTTATTGTGAGGATCAACTAGAATGTGTGTAAAGTATAGTGCTGGGTACATAAGTATTGTTATAACATCCTAATCATAATAACTGTTATTATCTGTGGGCTCTAAGCAAATAGTTTTCTATTTCAGTATATTCTGTGCCAGGCACTGTTCTAACTGCTCACATATTAACTTTTTAAATCCTCATAATAACTCTTATGAATTAGGTACTATTATTGTATCTGTGTTGTAGATTCAGAAGCCAAGGCACAGAGAGATTAAGTAATTTGCCCACAGTCTCATCCTTAGATAGTGACAGGGCTAAGATTCAAACCCAGGAAGTCTGACTTCAAAGTCTGCATCTACCACTTCAATAGGTTAAAGGGTGAGGCAGGAATCAAAGATAACTGATAGAATTGGCAGCAGCTCAAGGTGAAAAGATCAGAGTGGAATTGCAAATTGAGAGCCTGGATTAGGCAGGTTCCTTTCGCCTGGTGCCCAGAGTATGCTGAGGGTGAGGAGTGAGTGAGGATTGGGCGGGTCCCACAACATCAAAGCCTCACCATGGACTGTTTACCTCACAAAGTAAATTAATCTATTTTATTTTAGAGTGACTGGTAAGTTTCCAAGTCTTTTTCCAAGCAAATTGGAAAATAACCCATGGATGACTATGACTAAGGTAACTATGTGCATTTTACTCTTTTCTTTCTTTTACCAGGTAAGAGGCCATCCTAGGAAACAATCCTGTGAGTGATATTCCATGAATTATCTTCATGAACCAGAACAAGTCACTTTGCCTTCCTGCACCTTCTCTGAGATGGAAGAATGATCTGAAAATATGCCTCCCCAATGAACCTCAGCCCTGGCTGGCAGATCTGGCTGGCTAATGGGAGTCCCCTTGTCCTCTCCATGGCTCCTGTGCCTCCCCTTCAAGACTGTGTGTGTATTCCAAGAGGACTACCTTCCCAGGTGGGGATGTATTGTTCTTATAACAATGTAAAGGCTTACAGAATTTCCTTGAATGTTGCATCTACTTTTAGGGTTCTGAATCTATGAATCACAAATTAGAATTGGTGCCTTTGGAAGAGGAGATGGGACATGAAGCCCGCTCCAGCTTCTGGTAATGCCCTAAAGAGCAGCTCAAAATACAGCCGAAAGAACCCAGAAAACAAAATAGGTAAGTCTTGAAGAGAGATCAACATTAGGAACATAATATTCACTGAATGTAATTCTGTGGTCTGTTTTATACTTTATTCGATGCATCCAGTGAGCTCTATTAGTCACTAAAGCGTTTTAACAAATAAATTACAAAACGTTGATACCCTAAGAAGAAATAGCCTCATGCCACTTGTTGCCCCTTGTTGCCCCTTGGCTCTCAAAACTGGAAAGTCCACATACTTATAGTGGTTATGATAGTTTATCAAACTGAAGAAAAAAAGCCTGAAAAACACTCCAGTAATTCCAGACACAAGCAGATAATCTATTCAGTCCTGTGTAGTTGCAGAGAGTAAATGAAGAAAAGGAATTTTTTTTCTTCTCCTCAGGGCAGAGATGTTTTTCAGTTCTTTTTTTTTTTTTTTTTTTTTTTTTAATTTTAGCACTTGATATTCCCTTGGGAAGTGTTGGTTACAACAAAACACTATTTATTAGAATCCCAGTATCTGAAATTAATCAAAGATAGATTAGCATGCCAGTCTCCTCTTTCCTCTTTTGTAATAAAAGAGCAATAGTCATTTTACTATTGCTAAATATCATTTACATTTAGTCATTTACTAAAAATTGTAAAAAATTTCTTAATATAAGCATAAAGTTACATAAGCCGAAGAGAAGATGTACCGGAAGGTAAATAGGCATGGCAGAGGTTTGAAAGGCTGTTAGGCACTGGATTATAATCCTTCTCGGGTATGGACAACATCTGGGTGTTATTTTTTCTCTCATAGCCAGTTCAGTACTCACTGTGCACGAGAAGTGCTTGAGTGAGTCTTTGTTAGTAAATGAAAAGCAAATTAATCCACTTTTCAGAGCTCTCTTCAGAGACCTGAGCCTGAACAAGACAATTCTCTAAAGGACAGAATATTTGGGAATGAAAAATAGGACATTATAAGATGCCGTTTGTTACTTTTTAAATCCCGTTTTCATCCTGGCTACACTAACTTTACCCTCAAGGGCAGGAAAACAGAGGACCAGAGATGGCTCCAGGCAAGTCGTGAGTTGTGTGTCATCAGCATCTGTCTATAGTGGTGATTCTGGTGCTGACATGTGGTGGTTTATTTAATCTATTTGGGCCCCAGCATCTGCATGTGTAAAAGGGAATGATGATAATGAGTATTTTCCAAAATATGTGATTGAAGGATTAACTGTATTTGAGATAGAGTAGGCCTCAGTTCGTGTCCGCTATTAGCCTTAGTCTGTCTACAGGAACCAGAAGTTTCAGATTGGGAGAAGCCTGGTCTTTTAGTGAGATGCTTTCTTGTGGCGGGACAAGGAGTTGGTGTGAGACCAGAAACCCAGCCTCTCAGGAGCAAAAAAAGAGGGGACTGGATGTTCTGCTGGTGATTCTGAGATGAGTGTTAACATCAGATGTGGTTGTTAGTCTCCAGATTGGCAAACTGAAATGTTTCCTTCATGCACTTCTTTGTTTTTGTTTTTGGTTTTGGTTCTTTCTGCTGATAAATATTCTTACTCAGAGGTTATTACTGCAAATAATAAAGAAAAATACTGGTAAACCAGGCCTCTGATGTGTTATTGTTAAAAAACAAAATCAATGTTTTATTCACAGTCTGAGTAGAGACTTGGCTTGAGTGTTCTGAAAGAATTCTGTGTGGCAGGACAGGGGCTGAGCAAAAGAGTAGTGTTCAAAGGATTTATTGGTGTTGACTGTGAGTGTCTGTTTGTGTCTGTCTGTAAAGTTGGCTTGGTAGTCAGAACGTATGGGAAAACCTTCCAAGGGTCATATGGCAGCTTTTCAAAAATTCGGTAGAGCTGGGTACACAATTTCCCTGGACTCACCCCCATCTAAGCAGCCTCTAGCAGAGGGACCAGAGCAGCTGTAAGATACCTGTTCAGGACAGATTTGTATAGGCCTGAAGCAGGATACCGCATCCCAAGCAACCACAGACTGCCAGGAAAGTGCCCTGTCATGGCACAACTTAAGCTGAAAAATCAGCATCACAGCCTGTTGAGCTGGAAGGGGTCCTAGAGCTGCTACATCCAATTCCTTCATTCTCTAGTTGAGGAATCAAATCTACACATCTCTAATGACCTGCCTAAGATAATGCAGCTCATTAGGGTCAGAGTTAAGATTTGAGACAGAATACAGAAATTTTTTTTTAAAGCCTTCTGTACTGACATTTGTTTTCATTAAACTTGATACCACTTCTATCCTTTGTTTGTCAACTTTTATCTCTGAGAAATTAATGTTGCAATAAGGTAGAATCAAAGAAATTGATGAGAGAAATTGTGCTGACATGTTTGGGGTTGTCTTTGTATTCTCTGAAACCACAGAAAACATTTGATTAAAGAGTTCGCAGTCAATGTGACAATTTATGTTTACTTTCAAAGGGGACTGTCATTTTCAGAAGTTAAAGAAATCTTTGTTTCATATGTGGGCTTTACAGTCTGGGCTCTTGATACCCAGGGTGATGGGTTATTGTTGCTTGTGCCACTGTTAAACCAAGTACTGCTTTGAAAACAATTCAAAGGCATTTTAGAGGAACCCAAACGTCAGGTCTGTCTGATTATAGTACATGCAATTGTCAAGCTAGAAAAACGGGCATCCGTTGGTGAGCTTTGCTGTCCATGAGCTGTGAGCAGTCAGTCAGGTTCCTAGGGAATAGCCCTCCACTGTATTTAAGACACAGGTCTCACCCCCAGATCGAGCTGCTCTGAATTGCCATTTTACTCAAGATCAAGCATATCAGAGGTCACATTGTAAGCAGTAGGGGAACTATTAAGTTGAACTGAAGTAGAACAGCTAGAAAGAAGAAAATACACGTGTACTTGAAAGATGCAGGGAGGCTGGGCATGTTCACCAGGATCCTCCTGTGCAGAGGTAGGATCTTTTTGTTTGCCCTGGTCTAGTTTAAGAATCCTCTGCCAAGAAGGTTCTTTTAGTTTGCATTTTAAGATGTTATCCTTGTCATAATTTTAAACCATGAACTTTCCTTGTGCCAATTAAAGAAAAATGAAATAGAGGTCAGCCTCTCCCTGAACTCCTCTCAGCGCTTGAACATTCTTTCTCTACACATGGGCATTTGCACACTGCCTCCCCAGCCCGAGACCCGTACTGCGGCCACTAATTGAATTCCTAATGGTTGGGCCAGGGAAAACTCAGTTCCAAATTGCTCTCCTCCTTCCCCTAAGAGATCACACGTGTGTCAGTCTTTGTCCCTTGCCCTAACCCTCAACCTCGTCCTTCCTCTGCCATCGCTTTCTTTACATGCACATGTAGACATAGAGACTTGCACTTGGAAGCCTTTTCCTCCTTTCTGCTGCCTCCCAGCTCTTTCCTGTTTCTTTATAGAATCCTCTCCTCCTACACCTCCATTCATTATTTTCTCCCTCCCATTTTGTTCCCCAAATCTACCTGTAACACAAAGCTGATAAGCATATAAATTTTGCTTGTGATAAACCTTGGAGGAGGAAATAGCAAAGTCATGCATTTTGGTGTGTGTTCAAATAAAGAACCACTGCCACAATGCTTTTGAGAATTTACTTTATATTGAAGCCTTCATTTCCTACTGCCTGCTCCCCACCATATGCTTCTCTAGTTGCACTTAATTTCCTTATTAAAAATGTACTGGCCGGGCACAGTGACTCATGCCTGTAATCCCAGCACTTTGGGAGGCCGAGGTGGGAAGTTCACAAGGTCAAGAGATCAAGACCATCCTGGCCAACATGGTGAAACCCCGTCTCTACTAAATCTACAAAAATTAGCTGGGTGTGGTGGCGCACACCTGTAGTCCCAGCTACCTGGGAGGCTGAGGCAGGAGAATCCCTTGAACCTAGAAGGCAGAGCTCGCAGTGAACTGAGATTGCACCACTGCACTCCAGTCTGGAGACAAAACGAGACTCTGTCTCAAAAAAAAAAAAAAAAGTACTTTATGGCCAGGCATGGTGGCTCACACCTGTAATCCCAGCACTTTGGGAGGCCTAGGCGGGAGGATTGCTTGAGCCCATCTCTTCCAAAAAAAAAAAAAAAAAACCAAAAAAAAAAAAACAGCTGGGCATTGTGGTACATGCCTGTAGTTCCAGCTACTGGAGAGGCTGAGGTGGGAGAATTGCTTGAGACTGGGAGGTCGAGGCTGCAGTGGGCTGTGATTGTGCTATGCACTCCAGCCTGAACAATAAAATGAGACCCTATCTCAAAAAAAAAAAGTACTTTAACATTTTTTCTAGTTAACAATTTTTCCATTTTGAGTGCTATAGTACAGTATTGTCTTCCATTACTTTTCATTGCTGATGTAACACATAAAATAAATAAGTGCTTTTGAAATAATTTTGGAACCTGGCCATTTTTAGAACATTGTTTCAAAGAGAAAATGAATTTCCAGCTTTTAGAACATGATTTATTTTAAGTTGGCTATTTCCTCTGTGTGTTTGTTAACACAAATATTTTTGATGTGGTGACATAAAATCAGAGAGGCCTGCCTTGGTTTTTACCTTGTTAAATATGTTCATAATAGAAAAAAAATTAACCTTTTATTTTGTATATTTAATTGTGTTTGTATAGCATTCTTAGAGACTGTATTAGTCTGTTCTCATTGCTATAAAGACATACCTGAGACTGGGTAATTTCTGGAGAAAAGAGGCTTAATTGACTCACAGTTCCACAGGCTGTACAGAAGGCATGGCTGGGGAGGCCTCGGGAAACTTACAATCATGGCAGAAGGCGAAAGGGAAGCAGACACAGTCTTCACGTGGTGGGGCAGGAGAGAGAGAGCAAAGAGGGAGGTGCTACACATGTTTCAACCATCAGATCCCATGAGAACTCACTCACTATCATGAGAACAGCAAGGGGGAAATCCACCCCCACGATCCAGTCACCTCCCACCAGGTCCCTCCCCCAACATTGGGAATTATAATTCAATATGAGATTTGGATGGAGACACAGATCCAAACCGTATCAGAGGCCTCGCAATGCATGTTGCTATTATTTATAATTTTTAATAATCAAAGAGTATATGGAGACAGCAGCTTTCCACTATTTTTGTTCTTCCCCTCTTCCTGGGCACATGGAGAGGCTCTATTTTCCAGTCTCCCTTGTAGTGAGGTGTAGCCATGTGACTGGACATTTGCCACTGGAATATGAGTATGGGAGACTTGAGGAACCTCTGCCTCATCTGCATGAGAGGAAACGTCTGGCCAGGGACTTCTCTTTCCCCCACTCAGCCAGCTGGAATGCCCATGGCCAGAGCACCCTGGAAGCTGACTTTTGGTGGCAGAGCCTCTGCCAGCCTGGTCTCCAGTGACTGATGGGCACAAAGCTGCCCACCACGCTAGGATGCTTACCTGGGTTGTTACTTGGGACACGAATAAACTTGGCTGTTCTTTGAGCCACTGAATTTTGGAGGCTGTCTTTCATACAGCAGCTTAGCTTACTCTCTAATACGATGACAAAAGAGAGTTTACAAGTTATCCTGTTGGAAACGAGTTTACCCCAATATACTGAAAAATCAAAATATATAAGCAAAAAGTAATTTTCTTCAGAAAATGAAGTTCTAGACATTTGTAACTATTTTACTTTGGTTTTGATGATGAATTTCTCTAAACATTAAGAAATTTATAAGGCTAATTTAATCTTCCATTCAAACATAAAAATTTACCAAAGCCAGACATATTTCCCAAAGAGCTGTTATTTGAAAGGGGCAATTTGTTCTGGCCTTTGTTATGTCTATTAAACGAAAATGAGTAACAGAATACCCACCTCAGAAGCACATTTCTTGGATCTAGTGTCCTGTGATAATCTCATTTTAATTAGGACCAAATTCTGTTATGATGAACTGACCTCTCAAGAAACCAAACTCTTCACGGGTCACTTGGTAATAAAATAACGAAGCATAAAGCAAAGTTAACATCATTAAAATTTTTAAAAAGAAGTGTAAATTGGAATAAGGGTAAAATCATACCTGCTCATGACTTGTTTCTTGTTTCCATAATTTCCACCACAATTGGTGTCATATTTCTTACAAATTGCTGAATATTTTTGTTTGTACATTTGTTGGTGTGCTGTGTTTTTCCTCACAGAGCAAAATATCATCTAAAGTTTATGTTTTTTGTAGTTATTTAATCAAAATATGTATTATCAAAATAATATAAAGTATGAAAGTTAAAATACACAGTGCCAAATTGGCCCATGGCAAAAAACAAATATGTAGGCTCCAAATGAAGTCAAGATGAATTCATTTCTCACAGTCCTAAAGTTTAAGAGGTAGGGAGAGGGGTTACAGAAGAATCCGTAGCCTTGATCACCTCATGAAAACTAAGTGAGTATTACGATATTCTTAGTGGAACGCAGAATTCTGAATGAATTCTGAGAAAATACATTTAAAAGGATAAGATGAGCTACAGGAAAATAATTCATTCTTGTTTAACATGTTTGGAACTCATATAGCAAATTTGTTGTACCTTTTTTTTTTTTTTAATGTAATAATGGACTTTAACTCTCTCTTCCTGTACCAGAATGATTATGGTAATTGTTAAGTAGATCTTCATTATTCATATGAAG